GCCATGAAGAGCTTTAAAAGTGATCAATAGAATTTTAAAGTCAATTCAACATACTGGGAGCCAGTGTAATGAAGCTAAAATAGGAGTAATGTGGTCATATTTCTTTGTTCTGATTAAAAGCCTGGCAGCTGAGTTCTGGACAGTCTGGAGTCGATCAATAGATTTTTGGGTTAAACAGGTGAAAAGGCTGTTGCAATAATCCAGGCGTGATGAGATGAAGGCGTGTAAAATGGTCTCGGTGTCCTTAAAAGTTAACATAGATCGAATTTTAGCTATATTTCTAAGTTGATAAAAACATGATTGAACAAGCTTTGTGGTGTGCTGCTCGAAATTTAAATTACTATCAAACCAAACACCAAGGTTCTTTGCCACAGGCTTAATGTAATTTACTAGGGAACCAGCAGATGGCAGTATTTGATTTGCCATCTGCTGAGACCCGATGACCAGGATTTCCGTTTTGTCTGAGTTCAGCTGGAGGAAATTATTTGACATCCATTTTTTAACTTCACAAAGGCAGTTGTTAAGTGAACTCAGCATTCCAGGGTCTGTGGATCTGACGGGCAGGTATATTTGTGTGTCATCAGCATAAATATGAAAAGAAATGCCATGTTTATGGATAATATGTCCAAGGGGAAGCAGATACAAGGAAAACAAAATGGGTCCTAAGACCGAGCCCTGAGGCACACCATATTTAACTTGACAGAATGAAGAGACATAGTTGTTTACAGACACGCAAAACTTCCTATTTGACAGGTAGGATGAAAACCATTCTAGGGCAGTACCAGAGATCCCCACCCAGTGCCTCAGTCTGTCTAACATGATGTTGTGATCAATGGTGTCAAAAGCAGCGCTAAGGTCCAGGAGTACAAGGACTGAGCACATACCTTCATCAGCAGACATTAAAAGGTCATTGGTGACTTTAAGCAGGGCAGTCTCAGTGCTGTGGTACTGAAACTTTTCAAATAATTTGTTATTTTCCAGCACAGTGAGCAGCTGTTTGGACACAATTCTTTCTAGAATCTTTGCAATAAAAGGCAGTTTTGAAATTGGTCTAAAATTATGTGGGAGGGAGGGATCTAAACCAGGTTTCTTTAAAAGTGGGTTCACGCAAGCCGTTTTAAAATAATCAGGGACACAACCAGTAGATAGGGAGCTGTTGAAAACAGAGATCAAATGGGGCCCAACAGAATCTATTACTTTCAGTAAAAACTTTGTAGGTATTATATCAAGTGGGCTGGAGGACACTCTCATTTGTGATACTGTTTTTAAAAGCTCAGACAAGTCGATGGGATAAAACTGGTTAAAACTCTCTTGTTGCTGGTGAGGGACCTCTGAGTAAGAGGCCACGGGGGTAATAGAGGCTCTGATTGACACCACCTTATTGGTAAAATAAGATAAAAACAATTCACAGTCATCATTACTTCCAGCTGAGGCACAAGGAGGGGTTGGGTTTACCAGCTGATCCACAGTCTTAAACAGAAACCTGGGATTGTGTTTATGTGTAGTAATGAGTTCAGAAAAATAGTGTGTTCTCGCATCCTTAACCATTTTATTGTAGTTAATTAATAAATCCTTCAACTGAGGTAATGGACTTGGAGACTGGATTTTTTCCATCTGCGCTCTGCTTTCCTGCATTCCCTTTTGAGGCTGCGAATGCTGTCATTTATCCAGGGTTGCTTACTAGCTTTAGACGTAGGCCTAACCTTTAGAGGAGCAGTAATATTTAGTGACGACAAGCAGATATGATTGAAGTGATCGACCAGATTGTTGGTGTTGGAATCAGACAGGTGTTGGCTTTGGCTCTGAAAGAATGCGCAAAACTTTGAAACACTTTGTTCATTAAAGATGCGACAACACACGGAGCTTGGTGAGGCGGCATGAGTAACAGGCGAATCGCAGCTAAAAACAATACATCTGTGGTCAGATATGGTCATGTCCACTAATTCCACAGAGGAAATGCTGACACCCAGGGTAAAAACCAAGTCCAGTGTATGACCACGGTTATGTGTTTGCCCTTTGACATGTTGTTTGAAGTTAAAAGAAGTGGCCATATTTAAAAAGTCAGTTGCATTAACATTGTTGGGGTCATCAACATGAATATTAAAATCGCCACAAAGAACAATTCTGTCATAATTTAAAACCAGAGTAGATAAAAATTCAGGAAGTTCTGATAAAAATCCTCCAGGCGGTTTTGGGGGGCGATAAATTATAACAAATATGATAGGTTGCAGCCCTCCAACTTTAAGAGTGAGAACTTCAAAGGAGTTAAATTCATCACAGCGTACTTGATGACATTTAAAATTTTTCCTATACACGCTCACTAGCCCACCACCACGACCACTGACCCTCGGTTGACTAAAGCAATCATATTGAGGCGGACACAGTTCAGATAGCTGGCTATAGTCATTCATTTGCAACCAGGATTCAGTTAAAAACATAAAATCTAGATTTGCAGACAAGATAAAATCATTTAAGATAAAAGTCTTACTTGAAAGTGATCTCACATTGAAGAGAGCCATTTTAAATGAGTTTGTTCCGGGTGCTGGAGTTGGTGCAGTTGTCCTAATCCTTAACAGATTACTAATATTTCTGTGTGGGATGTGCACATTTCGGTTTACTGGTCTATGCGTGATGATGACAGGAATAGAAGTCTTTGGAACAGCGCTGGGAGCAGACAGCTTTACATGCCAGCAGGTGGAGACAGTTGTTTGTGGCAGTGAGCCAGAGATCTGTTCAGTGAGCGATGGTGTGTCCAGGTGTGCTGCATGAATGATTAGTCATTCACGTAAGTCATGTGTGGACCGCACCACATGCTGTATGTGCGCAGCTAACATTTCTGAGCCCCGTTTGTTTGGGTGAAGTCCGTCTGTCTTAAAAAGAGACATTCTTTGCCAGAAAATATTAAAATTATCCACATAAAACACACGGTGAGCCCTGCAGGCGGACTGGAGCCAGTCGTGGAGGCCAAGGAGTCTACTGAAGCGGCCAGCACTGCGACCGACTGTGGGAATGGGACCAGAGATAAAAACGGACTTTCCGCACTGCTTTAAAAAGTTAAGAAGACGGTTAAAATCTGATTTTGTCAGCTCAGACTGCCGAAGAGCTGTGTCATTTGTTCCGACATGGACTATCACTCTTGTGATGGAGGACGGGAGCGACGGCATCAGGTCCTGGAGTTTATTTAAAATGACAGCCGTGGTAGCACCGGGGAAGCAGCGAGTGGTAGCGTTAAAGAAACGGATGTTTCTGGTTATGGAGTCACCAATTATTAGTGTGGTTGGGGAGAAAAGAGGACGAGGAGATGCTGGTTGTGGGGTTCCAGAGCAGGACTGAGCAGAATCTGCTTCAACACTGCGTGCGGACTGAGGATGGAGTGTGTGAGCTGCCGAGTGTTGTGTTGGAGTAGCAGTAACAGACCTGAGAGAAGGGCTACCCGACGGTGCAGAGTAGAGACGGCCTCCGGAGCGTCTGAGCACAGCCTCCTTCAGGATCCTACGTCGGGAAGCGGAGGTTTTTGACCGGGATGACGGCCGCCGATCAGGTCCGGCGGCCCAGTGCGGGAGATGTAGCCGGTGGAGGAGATGCAACAGTGTCGGCAGGCACTGTGCGCCGAAAGAGATCCGTATCAGGGAGACTCGAAGCCGCAGGTGCATCCGCTGGATGGACCGGAGTGTCGTTAGACAAGGCTGCATAGCGGTTGGAGAGGCCTATGTGCGGAGGAGAGGCAGCCCCATCCGAGCCTCTCTTGCAGCCACGGACCACCACTTCAGCCCAGGTTGACTGATGCTTCGGAGTCGAGCAGGATGAAAGCCTGGGAAGACTAGAGGGGTCCCAAAACACGGTGTCCTGGATGTTAGCTGTTGTGCTAAGAGAAACAATCTGTTTGGCTTGTACTGAAGCTACATCCATAAAGCCAGTCAGCAGGGAATCTTTCTCTTTGAGTTCCTCTGAAAGTCGTCGGATGTCTTCCATAAGGTCAGCAATCTTCTTGTTCGCTTTCTTAAGGAGTGAGCAGTTCTCATGGGGCAGAGTTATCTCGGCTAGCATAGTCACCGGAGCTTTGTTGCGATCAGTAGCGTTGATCGCGTTTTTACGGTCATCTAGCTTAAAATCCATGTCGGATGACTAAAATCTTTAACCCACGTAAAACTTAAAATAAAGTTAAGTTAAATAAAAAGGATATAAAAAATGTAACGAAAAAAGAGTGGATTAAAACTGGATAAGAGTCTAGTTTAAGACGGAGCTTCCGACAGGTGGCTACAGACACCAAACGCATGCGCAGAGTGCAGATTACGTCAGCAATTACGTCAGAGATCTTGTGACAAAGTGTATGTAAAGTTACATATAATAACTATTCATGCAGAATGAGTTAAACATTTCTGATGAATGTAGTGTGTCAAACTTTTTTTCCCCTCTCCACCCCATCCAGACTGTGATTGGTCAGCTTATGACTTTATGAAAAGAATGTGTAATTAGAAGGTATCCGATCTTCTCCCTCCTCTGTCTCTGCTGACAGAGATTAGCAGGAAGACCAGAACAAATCAGATGCTACCAAGATGGCGACGCCAACACTGAGTTTCACAATAGCGCTCTTTAAAAACCTATGAGTGATGTAGGAGAGTGCAATATGTATTGGCTAAGATAGTACACACTTTTTAATTATCCTGTATATTTTGCATTCTTTTTTCCATTAGTATTATTGTAATTTTTTATACTTCTTCTGCTCTGCTGCTATTCACAACACACCCGTTCACAAACACACTCTGTGTCCTCCTCCTCTACCACACACAAACACTACGCTCACACAACTTTTACAAACACAATGCCAATGAAGGATGCCAAATATCGTCTGATTATCGTTATCAACTATATCCCAGAAAATATCTCAATAACATTTTTTGTTAATTTCACAGACCCCTAGGGTGACGTCAGCCAGTGTTTTATAAAGTCCATAGTCTCAATACACTGTACAATATGAAGCAATGTTCACGTGTCCTTACATGTAAGCGTTTGGTGTATACTGTGCCTGTGTTCCACTGACACCAGGATCAGTGTCTATTTTCTCAGAGTTGGTTGGAAAGCTTTCATATTCTGGGAAGACAAACAGAAGTAAACAGAGTTAAAAATTTACACCAAATCTTCCTCACACATTTTTTTCACACTCCACTGGTGAAAGGAAATATCAATGTCTTACTGGTGTTGTGAGTATCCAGGAGCAGATTACCACAATCTGCTGACCTGCACACCTCCACTGTAACGTCTGCCTTTTCTTGTGAACTGGATGCCTGGAGGAGATATATCATATGTTTACTCTGCAAGCCTTGGACCTTTTTGTACTGACCCTATAATTTCCCTTAAGCTGCTTGAAGATGGAAAATCATCATATTCCACAGACTGACAGTCAAATGTTGTATTAAATGTTTGTACTTTTATGTGGAATGTACTTTTATAGTAAAGTAGTCCATTGAAATAATAAATTCCTTGGTGTGTGCTGAGCAAAGGCAACCCCAGGCTCTAACGGCTCCATCCCTAATCTGGAGAGTCATCATCTATCTGGTGATTACAACCTTGTGATGGACTTGGTTTTGGATTGATCTTCTCATTTCATGTCAAAGTCTTCTAAATCAGTACAACAAATCCAGGCATTCATAGACATGCATAAACTCATAGACCTATGGAGGTTTAAAACTCCAACAAACAGGGAGTGGTTGACAGACGGCATCTTAGCCTTAACTCTTTGGGAAACATTTAAAGCGCATCTTAGAGGACAGATAATCCCTTGCAATGCATATATTAGGAAACTTTGTTGCCATTCTGTGTAATAGGATGGGGTGGCGCACAGCTACAGTCTACTTAAGACAGGTGTTAATTAGTGCAGGTGTGGCGCGAGGTGCACAGTTTTTGAGCCTGAGGCACGTGTAATCATAGAGACTGACTTGAGTTAAGTTTATTTTTGAAGAAATGTTAAATTTTTCGTTATGTTAATAAAGGGATTGGCATATCTGACTTTAAGTTCAGACTTTTGAAAGTTTATTAATTTATCTTATTTTATTATTTTAAGCCACAAGGAAACAGCACGTGTGCAAAACAACTTAAATGTGCGCCAACAATTAGTCAAAAAAACACTCTGTATGAGGAAAAGACTGATCAAGTTTAAACGACACGGTCCTTGTGCTGTTCGTGCACCTTGTTTCGTCGGTGAACGGCTGAATGGAAACGCTGGCGCATTGGCCACAGTAGACCTACGGGGGCAGCGGGCCTCACATTGGACAGTGAGGCGGCCAGTAAGCAGTGACGACGGGCGGAGATCGGTGACGGACAGCGGTGATCGATAGTGGACGTCGTAGTCGAGCGCTTTGGGCCTCACAGTGGACAGTGAGGTGGCCCGGACACGGTGAGGATGGACGCCATTGACGGCGGGGGTTGGTGAGCACACAATACATTGACATTTGGTTTAAAGTAAACAAGGACTTGAAATAAGACATTTGGGTCAAGGGGTTTACTCAAAAAAATTAAAGTGTAAAGTGTTTATTTCTGATTTCTCGATTTCATGATATTTAAATGAAATGTTGTTTTGTTGGTTGAAAACAAGGTAAAATGGATGAAAATAATCACGGTATGGAGGTAACACATGTGGTGTTGGCTGACTCTCAAAATGATAATGAGTAAGAAGCCTCTTTCAAAAAACGGTCTATAAAACTTACAACAAAAGCGCTGCTATCTAAACTATCTGACTTAGAGACACAAAGAAAATCCAAATTAAGTAAAGCTGCCAACATCAAACAAACTGTGCAAGGTTTAATGTGTGAGTCTGGTTTCGAAGCTGAAATAAAAAGTAGCTTCAGCAAATATCAAACCTTGATTAACGCAAAGGTTGCACATAACAATCTGCTTGAGTTGCTACCCCTGGATGAAAAGGAAAAGCATGAAAACTGGTTCAAAGCAAAGCTTTTAAGTGTGAACAAATTTTGCATGGAAAATTATTTTAGGAGTTCAAATGATACTACTGAGGATGTTCACCTTGAGGATGATATCAAACCAACAGACAGTGTATCAAATGTTGGAACATCATCACACACTAAAAGCCACACCAGTGAAAGATCAAGTCGATCAAGCAAAGCTGCATTTGAAATTGCAGCCAAGAAAGCTGCGCTCCTGGCACGCGCGGCAGCGCTAAAAAAAAAGAAACATGAATTGGAGCAGGAGGCTGAGATGCAGAGTTGGCAGTCCTGCAAGCATTTTCGGATCAGGATGGAATGGGATCTTATTTTGAGAAGCAAAGATCAAAAGAAATACCTGACATTCCTGATGCAAAGTTTGAGAAGTCTACAGAATTGGTGGGAAATAAAGGCTTACTTGGTGCAGTTGCAAGATCCACTGAAAATGTTGCACATACAGTTGATGACAATTCTACACAACAGATTCTGCAATGGCAAAATGAAATATCCGAGCTGCTCATACAACACAGAGCAAGCCAACTGCAACCAAGACAAATACCTGTTTTTTGAAGGTGACCCACTGAAGTTCAAAATGTTGATGCAAGCCTTTAGGCACTGTGTAGAGGAGAAAGCTGCATCTAAAGGTGATTGCATGTAATATTATATGATACACCAGAGGGCGCCCACACAACCTTGTACAAAGCTATTGACATATGAGTGCAGAGAGAGACTTTGAAACAGGTAAAGCCCTACTACAGGAACACTTCGGTAATGAAACAAAGATCACAGCAGCATATATGGAAAAGGTTCTCAACTGGCCTGTGGTAAAGGCTGAAAGTGTTTCGTTACTGCAGGACTATGCATTATTTTTGCGTAGATGCAATAATGCAATGTCAGATTTAGAGGACATGAAAGAGCTGGACCTCAAAATTGTTGTCGAAACTTCCTTTTAAATTAAGGGGAAAATTTTGAAGTTCTGCATGTGATATTCGGGAGAGACCCAACCGAAGACCAAACTTTAATGACGTTGTACACTTTGTGGAATATCAAGTCAAAATCTTGTCTGATCCTATTTTTGGTGATATTCAAACTACTGAATGTATGCCTGTTAAAAGGGATGTGTATACAGTAAAATCTAAGTTGAAGCGAGACAACTTTGCTACAAACGTCTGCGCTGTTAGCAAAGTGCAACACAAGAACACACAAGATGGTAAACAGGACAACATCAGCAGCAATTGTTTATTCTGTTTACAAGAGCACAGTCTAGATGAATGCCAAAGATTTGCCAAGAACAAACATCGTGAAAATATCAACTTCTTAAAGTAAAAAGGAGTTTACTTTGGGTGTCTCAACACTGGGCATTGGAACAAAACTTGTGATAAGCAAAAAAGAAAAATGCAAAAGGAGCCATCCAACAGCTTTACACATTCACGCCAAACAAGTGGACAAATCAATGAACACCGACAGCATCTACTCCAATGAACCTAAACTAGCTGTAAACCATACGCTTGTGTCAGCTCAGACATTTGGGAGCCAGACCGGGGCCGGTAGCAATGGAATGCTCTCCATCCTGCCTCAGGTAAAAGCACAAAAAGGCAACAAGGTGATTCAAACCTACGCTTTTCTAGACAATGTCTCAACATCCACATTCTGCTCTAAAGCTCTCATGCGTAGGCTTAATCTCACTGGGACAAAGTCAAAAATATGTTTGTTAACGATGAGCCCAAAGACATCTTTGACAACATACATTGTGAATGGACTTCAAGTAGCTAGCCTTAATGGAACAAGGTACTACAGTCTTCCAAATGTTTACAAGCAGAAAGCAATGCCAGTGAATACAGCAAACATCATCAAACAAGAAGACCTTACACAGTGGCCTTACCTTGAGCACATTAAAATCCCTGAAATTGATGCAAACGTGGAGTTATTAATAAGTACTAATGCTTCAAAGTTGCTGGAACCATGGGAAATTGTAAATAGCCAAGGTGAGGGTCCCTTTGCTGTTAAAATCCTATTAGGGTGGGTCATCAATGGCTTAGAAAAGGATTGCAAAGACAACATGAATGACAATGGCTGTCGTAGTGTTGCTGTAAACAGATTATCGGTGGAATCACTTCAGGTGCTATGGGAGAAGCAGTACCAAAATGACTTCAATGAAAAAATTGTCAACGACAAAGAAGAAATGTCAAGACAGGAGGCAAGATTCATTGAAATAATGGAACAATCTGTAAACCTAAAGGACGGACATTACAGTTTAAAGCTGCCATTCAAAGCCCAGGAGGTAACACTCCCAAACAATTGTTGTATTGCTCAACAGCGCCTCATTGGACTAAGAAAGAAAATGAAAAGAAATGAGAAGTTCCACCAAGGATACACAAGCTTTCTTGAGAATGTCATCAGCAGTGGCTACGCAGAAATGGTACCACAGGATGAACTGTGTTGTGGAGAAGATAACCTGTTCTATATTCCGCATCATGGAGTGTATCATCCAAAGCTAAGTTTAAAGGAACTTCTTTGAACGAACAGCTTCTGCAGGGTGCGAACCTTAATAGGAGTGCTTCTATGATTCAAGAACCAGTTGCTTTTATGTCTGATGTGAATTGATGTTCTACCAAGTCAAAGTGGCTGAGGAAGACAAAGACTAAGGTTCCTGTGGTGACCTAATGGAGATCTATCCAAGCAAGTTGAAGAGTACTGAATGACTGTACATCTCTTTGGAGCAGTGTCGTCACCTAGTTGTGCATGTTATGCTTTAAGGAAGACTGCAGACGACAATCGGAGTAGTTATTCGGACGAAGTGATTGACACAGTACATAGAAATTTCTATGTGGACGAAAAGCTGACCATCTGTGCAGAAAGCGGTACAGATTGTTCATGACCTGGCTGACCTTTGCCAGAAAGGAGGCTTTCACCTTACACAATGGATCAGTAACAATCGCAAAGTCCTTCAAACAATTCCTGAGAAGGAGCACTCTAAAAATGTGAGTGAACTCAATTTAGACATAGACCAACTCCCGGTGGAAAGGGCACTGGGACTGCATTGGTGTATGGAAAGTGACAACTTTAACTTTCGTATGAACTGCAAAGAACAGATGCAAACACGACGAGGGATTCTTTCAGTTGTTAGTTCAGTGTACGATCCCTTAGGGTACCTTGCACCAGTCCTTCTTCCAGCCAAGCACATTTTACAAGACTTGTGCAGAAGGAACTATGGCTGGGATGAAGAAATTCCGCAAGCCCTAAAACAACCATGGATAAATTGGTTGACTGACCTGAAAGAGATCTCAGAGTTCAGAGTGAGTAGGTGCTTGAAACCACACAACTTTGGAACACCAGTCAATGCCTAG